CGGTCGCTACCCGGGACCTTTGAATGAGAGGCCAACACCTTAACCTCTAGGCCACGAGAGCCCCCCATCATAAAACCGCAGCACTTGTAGAGGTACATGCCGGGGGCATCAGCCTCCAAAAAAGAACCTGCGATGGCTCTTCAGAAATGTAAAAAAAGTCCATGAAAGTGCAGACAAAGCCGACTGCAGAAAAAGGGGGTGCTGGCGATTGGCCAGGCCTCGCATTTCGCAACATTGACTAATACAGGTGGGCCTAGCGATAGCATCGGCCGGGTCGTGGGTCTGGTCGCGATTGTTGGATTTCAGACAATTGTCGGCAAACATGCAGGTCTAAACACATGTAGAGACACAGGGACATTTTTCAAAGAACATCAATGACTCTAACAATTGTCATTAAGCTGAAATAAACAAGAAGTTGACAATTCAAAAGACAGACACTGAACACAAACCACTAGTATGGGATGGGGAGGACGACTACTACAGGATTATGTTGGTTGAGTTTCAATATTTCCCCTTTTTTTCGGGGGAGGGGGGTGTCAAAGCTGCCATCACCAGCACACAAGAGATCCCACTGCGACTCTACCTACCAGGTCTAATCACCGAAGCACAGACGCTGGTGAGGCTGCTCTTGCGCCGCCCACTTTCTGCACCCATCCGACACAGGAAGTGTTTCAGAGAGCAACGGTTGGCAATAGTAGCAAAATATGAACAACGGAGAAGAAGAAAAAGTCCACTTCACTTGTCCAACACAAGGAAGACATTTGTTTGATACCCTTCAACAAGTATCTATACAGTGCCAGAAAATTTTCCCTTGAAAATTGTTTGGGTTTTTCAGTTGTGTAATTGCACAAAAAGAGAAGCAAAAAGGTGCTACAAGCTGAGAGTGACGTACTTCTCAGGTTCAAAATATGTTGAAAAGACACTTCACAACCTTAACATTATTATCAGCGAGCATCTTTTCGACCGCTTAAAATGTCCACGAAAAAGCACATATCTACAGGCTAATAATACAGTTGCTTTTCAAAGAGAGCGCCTCCTAAAAGCCATTCAAAATGAATGAACCATAGTAATAACAAAGTTCTGAGACCTATCGTTATCACCCTCTGCGTGGAAAAAGACCCCCAAAAAAGCAGACAGTTATCACCCTCTGCGTGGAAAAAGACCCCCAAAAAAGCAGACAGAAATAGAACTAGCAGTTGAGAAATAAAGTAGAAATTCTAACAAGCACCAGTATGACTTTAACAAGTCAAAAAGAATGATTAATCACATAAATACACTGAAAATTTAATGCACAAAAGGATGAAACATTAATTGACTAAAAAACCCACAACACAAAAATTTGTACACAGCACACTATTTTCTTCTCAGTCACAGTACACTATTATTGAAGACAATCATCTTTTTGCCAACAATTTACAACGGTGGCCTTATTTTCAGGTCAATAAATGGAGGAATCTTTTAATCCTCTCCTACACACATAAAACTTTCCGTTTCCCTTTGAGCAAGTGAGAAGACTCTGGATAGAGCCACAATCATGCACAGCTGAGAAAAAAAAGCCAAAGACTGAAAAAGAAATGACCAAAAAACAGCATATTAACCAACAACAGCCACCCATTTCTCTTTTCAAAGCATTCCGTTGCACGTTGGGCACAACTGATCAAACACACCTGAGCGGTCTCCACTGCTGCGCCTGTCTCCACCAGAGCTTTCGTTATCTGCACGTCTGGATCGGGGTCTGAAATCAAACAAGTAACGCTGCCTGAACACAAAGAAAGAATCTAGGGACATTTCTTATTCAATACAAATAATTTAAATATTGGGTCTCAATTCTATGATGCACATTCCTGCTCTATCATAGCTTCATACACTTAACATTACAGGAACATATACAATTATCCATCAGCATATATATAGGATAGGACGCTCATCAATTTTAGGGCATGGAGTTATTGGTTTAATCTTAAAGCTTATTATTTGTCTTTCTTTTGGTGAAAATAATACCCATCTGTCTTGAATAGAAGTCCAGATATTTGCGATTGAAGGTGGGGGTAACCTGTTTTCTGCAGTAATTTTAGCAAGAAAATGGCCGCCAAAATTTGGTAACTTCTATAGCTTGAGAGTCCTTGGAAACTGAAAATGTACATATTTTGTGCCATAAATCAACATTTTATTTTTATATGGTCCTTAGCTGCCCCCCCCCCCCAAATGCGACAAAAATTGCCTCACTGAAGGGAAAATGCTTGTTGCTTCGATTTCATTATTTTGAAGAGCATTTGATTTCACCATGATGCCTCACATATATATGCTCAAGTGAATCTACATCAATGACAAATATCAAAAGTTCCGGCAGTAAAACAGATGTGTTGTTTTAGAGGCAGGTTTGATCTCATGACCTACAATTTTTCAATCACTCTCAGAAACAGAAGCAGTGGCATCTGTTGTCTAGTGGTAAGGCAGCTGAACCCCAACCATGAGCTTGCCATTTCAAAGGTTCGAGGCTCAGCTCAGTCGAATACTGTGTCCATGGGAAAGGCCATTAACAACAATTTTCCCATTTGGCCCAGTCCTATCAAAGATGGACACTAAATTTGAAGCACCTGCCTCTTTAATCTCTTTAAAGCTTTAATGTTGAAAGAGGTGTTAAATCTACACAATTTCGCACATTTCTGTTCTTGGGAATAGAAAAAAACAGTCAACCCCAATATTTGCAAGATTGGACATGCATCTTACTTAAGTACAGAAAAAATTAGCTTTAAAAGTTGACTTTGAACGTTATATATTTCCAGCCTTGCTTTCCACCTTTTGAGTAAGCGAACACATAACACATAACATATCTGTGTGGTCTAGAAACTGGATGTAGTCACACTGATTAAGCTGCCCAGCACAGAGGAAACCGGGAGCTTTAGTACATGTGACCTGTGCGAGTTCTCTGTTCCTACCACTTACAACTCACAGAGACACAACACACTCAGGTCTGCAAGCTGTCATGGGTAGGATACTTACTTCTACACACACAAAAAGATATTCGTTATAAACCGTAAAAATATTTCAGCAGTAAATCCCCCTCAATTCAGAGCAGGCACCAAAAAACATTTATTTCGCTGAACTGAGCCAATTCATTTTCTGCATGAAAATTGAAATTGAAAGGCATAATCCTTAAATCACAATGATATTTTGGTGACAATAGAAAACATCCTTGAATTCCTAAACAGAAGACTTCTGAGACATAGCATCAGAATATATCAATTACTATTCAGATAAATCAGTGCCTCAAACATGCATCTATGGAATATCTTTTTTAAAAATATAGTAGAGCGTTTTACAGCGATCGCAACTGCATAAGGTCATATGAGCGCCAAGGGGTGGGTATCAACAGAGAAGTCTTTACAGGGAATCAGACTTACTCTGCTCACCTCTCTAGCTCAAGGTCTGCTTCGACTATCAAGGCACACCGGAAATAGCGGGTCACAAGAGAGTGACAAACATACAAAAGAAGTTAGAGGAAAATGACAATAGTAAGGATTAGGAAAGAAAAAGCAGATGAATCAGACCATTTACAATTCTACTGTGCTTGAACAAGAAATGTCCCCCCTTTGGGAATGGCCTAAAGACACTAGTCAGTGGCACTGCCCCGGGGGGTCAATTATGGAAGCCTGGAAAATGAAATCACAGCATCCTTGTTGCTGGAATAATTAGTTACTACTTTTCTTTACATGGTGAGTAAAAATTGTTTGAGCTACTCATACTTCTTGTGACAGTAACGCATGAGCTTTTGTAAAACACACAAGAAGAGAAAAACATACAATGCTGTAAACAAAGTAGTATTCTGTGATTTTTTTTAATGAGACACCCTCTCTTCACAAAATAATGTGAGCCAGCATTCACATGTAGTCACACTGATTAAGCTGCCCAGCACAGAGGAAACCGGGAGCTTTAGTACATGTGACCTGTGCGAGTTCTCTGTTCCTACCACTTACAACTCACAGAGACACAACACACTCAGGTCTGCAAGCTGTCATGGGTAGGACACTTATTTCTACACGCACGAAAAGATAACCGTTATAAACCATAAAAATATTTCAGCTGTAAACCCCTCTCGGCATCATTTCAGAGCAGGCACCCCAAAACATTCATTTCGCTGAACTGTGAAAAGACTAAATGAACAAAACAGGATAAGGAAAACAAACAAAAGCAATTGCTATCATTATTGATCGCGTTTACGCTTTTATTTTTTAAAAATTGGATCATTGAGGAAGCCAGTCGTTTCGAACCCGGCTGTTCGAGCCAGCCTGTGCTAAAGGGGGAGCAATTTTCAAACAGGAACTACAAAAACAATTGACATTTGAAAATATCTCTGGAAACAATTTATCTTTTGCATGAAAATTGAAGAGCGCTCCTTAAATCACAGACATCTGTATTTTGGTGACAATAGAAAACATCCTTGAATTCCTAAATAGAAGACTTCTGAGACAGCATCAGAATATATCAATTACTATTCAGAAAATTCACTGCCTCAAACATGCAACTATGTAAGCCTGGAAAATGAAATCACAGAATCCTTGTTGCTAGAATAATAAGTTACTACTTTTTTTACATGATGAGTAAAAATTGTTCGAGCTACTCATACTTCTTGCGACAGTAATGCATGAGCTTTTGTAAAACACACAAAAAAAAAAAAGAAGAATGCTGTAAATGAAGTAGTATAGTGTACTTTTTAAACAAGACATCTCTTCACACTAAAAAAAATAGGATTCAGCATTCACATGTAGTCACACTGATTAAGCTGCCCAGCACAGAGGAAACCGGGAGCTTTAGTACATGTGACTTGTGCGAGTTCTCTGTTCCTACCACTTACAACTCACAGAGACACAACACACTCAGGTCTGCAAGCTGTCATGGGTAGGAATATCAATCCTACAAACAAAAAGCCCATTAAAATATTTGTACCAATCTCCATTCATTAGAGCAATTTAAAACCAGCGACCAACTCGGAAATTGATTTCCCACTGCTATACGAAGAAAAAAAACCTGGACACAGAGTAAACAAAATTCAGGGCAGAAATCAAACTTGTAGAAAAGTACGAGTGGCACTGCATTGATAAATAACTAGAAACACAAGAGAGACGCACACAAAAATTGTACCTCTCCACTTCTCATTTCATACCAGAGAGAGGAGACATGTACAATATTTTGCCTTCTCTAATACTAGAACAGCCTAACTAAATAAAACATAAAGGCATAGTAAAGTCTTAAATCAAGGCGTACCTTTTCGAAGACCACTCTGTTAAGATACATGTATTCTCATTCTCAGGCAGTTTTCTCCCACAGAAATTTTGAACAGAATCCTTCTGCCCAGAGTCTTCTACACTACTCAGTAGCCACAACAGAAACAACACTCCAGCAATATCGCGAGCCACAACACTCAGACCACAGAGGTAAGAGGGACAAACTTACCCAACGTCATCCTTGCCTTTGAGTTTTTCCTCAATCTGTTTCTCCCGAGCATACGTATCAACGGGTTTGGCCGCGCCAAAAATGGACGAGCGAGTGCTCGGCTGGTTCTCTTTCTCCACAGGTTTGGAGCGAGGCTGAAGCTTTAGCCGTGGCCGCTCTGTCGGTGCATCCCTGCGCTCTGCACCAGGAAGGACAAGTAATGTTAAGATTTTTTTCTTTTCAGTTCAACAAGAACAACACAATCATGACGTGTTTTTAGCTGAGAATTAGAGAATTGTTGATAGAAAAATGACAATCATTGGCTGTCATTCAGGGTTATAACGAATAAAAATGAAAGACAAATCATTCACGAAGAAAAAAGTAGTTGTTATATATCTGTATCAGTGAGGCTTTATTTCTTAGCAAAAACAAAAGAAATCAAACATTTCCACTCATGTACATACACCATCATACTCAATTTAATAAAAGCTCATAAAAGACAAGAAAATGTTAGGAAAATGAACGAACCTTGGCTGCCATCCCGGCTTGCAGGTCTGTTGAAAATGAAAAAAAGTACAAACTTACATCAATATACATTAAAATGTGCTGACCAAAATTTATTGTCCCAACAAAAAGAAAAGAACTTGCAGACATCTTAAACGTTTTTTTTAAACAAACAAACAAAATACGCATCTGCTTGAGGGGAAAATAGCAAGTGAAACAGTAAACCAAGATTTCTTAGTGCCAAGAAAGAGAGGTAAAAAAAATATTTGAGGGACACATTGTCTGGAGATCTGAGGACTATAATAACATCCCTGGTAGGGCTTGGGGGGGCCTGAGAAACATGCACCTTTTATTGTTACTTTACTGTTGCCTTTTTATTTCATAAACTGTGTGCTTCTAACGGCTTCGTTGACTCAATCAATCTTTCTTTTTCATGGTCTTCCCTCTGCCATAAAACCATAAAATTCCACATTGTAAGTAGGCCTTCGATGCTGGCTGTTGTGGCCCCATTCTCAATAATAGAACTAAAAGAGGATTAAAACTGCCTTAGATAACCCAGTGTCCTTATCTAAATGCACCAATATTATTCAGAAGAAACCACAAATCCATAGTTATTACAAGTGTGCCACAGATTTTTATAAAAGTAAGTAACATAGAGAAGATAAAATGCAGAGTAACAGCAAAGTTTGGCCATGGTCAAACTAACTCAAGTACTGAAAGAGCGATGCCTTAAAGTGGGGTGAACATTTCGAACATGTTTTCCTAAGACATGAAAAAGAAGCGTAGTATCGAGAAAAACTAAGATATATCAAACTTGGACAAACCTGCGATCAAATCCATCATCCCGACGTCCTCTGTTGTAATCGTCGCGTCTTCCACCTCCGTATCTGTCATCAAAACCTCCACCAGAACCACCAAATCGGCCTAGCAAACACAGACAATACAAAGCAATCAATATTTTGTTTCAGTAAGCATAACTGTACTTACTACACAAATAGGTCACAAATGTGCCAAATTTTCAATGTCACAAGAGAGTAACAAATACAAACAAGAAGGAGAAGAAACATGCCTCCCTAGTTCAAGATCCAAAAATGTGTAAAAGAAAAGATGATTTTGAGTAATTTGAGACAAAAAAGTGTAATCACACACGCAGTTAGATTTCTGGATGCTCTGACTTGGACAAATTTCGCGCACTCAAGCAAACCACACCAGTGCACCCGCCAACAACCCACAAAGACTGCTCATTTGAATAATGAGAAGTACACTCACATGAAACAGCATTAAAAAAAAAAACAGGAAAAAGAAAACAGTGACTACTTGTTATACCCTCCAGCCCTCCTTATACAAAATATGGAAATACTACCAATTTTCAGTTATAATGCCTGAAAAATAAAACTAAATTAGTGAAATCCTCAACAAAAAGGCTTTGTGCCACCTGCCAAAACAGCATATACAGTAATTCGCTAAGCGAAAAGTTGTTTCTACACAAACAAAATTTTGTTGAGTCAAACAATATCAAAGACTGGAAATTATTGCTCAACTCACTGACTCAAGGTTATCTCACTTACTTTCAATCATATACAAAGAATTATTCATTTACTTAGTCCACAATGACAGCAAAAACTGTAGCCAAACAACCTCCCAAAACCAACCGGTACCCCCCCCCCCCCCCCGTTCAGAACATGTGCAAAACATAAGCAAAGCTGCCAACTTTTCAAAACCAAAAAACAAGCCTCGCCCCAGGGGGCAGGGTCAAGATGGTAGGCCCTGTTCGGTCAAGTGTTTTCCCCCCCCCCCCCCCCCCCCACTTACACATTAAATAAATTCAAGCTATGGAAAGCAAACCTTGCAACCATAACGTCAAAAGATCTATCAAAAATGTTTAGTCAAGATCTTCCAAATTGACTTATCATTATTCGCAAATCTGGTCTAGAAAAATCATAATTTTCATCAAGTCCACAGGCGCATTACTAGAAAACAGAGAATATAATTTTCTTATTTTCTGACACTAGAATTGACTTCCTTGCACAGACTCTCAAAAACGCATGTTTTTATATACTGGTTGGCAGCTATGCGTGTGTTGCAAGGATCTCATATCTCCACACCATGAAAGCCTTGTGAACAAACAATAGCCAAAAGTACTGTGGGCTTTCCTATTTTTTCCTACAACAGGTCAGCCCCTTCACTGCCGCAAAAACTAACTTGATATTGGCATTATTGCTGTGGCTGAAAACAGAACAATGTGTACTAAAAAGTTAAATTTCTCACTTCCGAATGGTAGTGGAGACATGTGACTTGCTAGAGACGATAGACAAATTATTCAGCCATTGTCTTAGAAAATTTATTAAAAAAAAAAAAAAAAGCACTGGTACATTTTTTTCATCTCACAGTGCCAAATTGTTTAATTTCAAGGCCAGAGATTCATTTACAAGGCAGTTAGCAGTTTAAATAGAGATGAAGCAAACTCGGGCGAAGCATCAAATGGGATAACAAATTCCCCCCTCCCTCCCACACCCTAAAGTAGATATTTTTGTTTTAACTATTATGTCTCAGTATTTGACTTTACTACATACATAACTGCATTTTGCAGCTGTAAGTGAAGCCATGAACCTTAGTTTTCTCTTGTAATGTGTTCATAAGCAAACAGAAGGTCTGTGATATAACAGACGACACTGCAGGTTTCTGTAGTCTCTTTTAATATTACGAGACAGAAAAAAAGACACTCATACTCACAGCAGAAGGGCACACGAAACAAAAAGGAAAAAAAAACTGACTTCAAAAATAAGAGTGAGTAGTCATCACATGTAAACGAGATACTCATAAAGGTTCTTAAAACTCAGTTGACTTCATGAAGTTGATGGGTGTTTTTAGATAGCACCCCAAAGCAAAGCAAATGCCAGCAAGCCAGTCAAGCTGCTGCTACACAAAGTAGTTTGTGCTTACCCCCGTCTTCACGGTCCCGATTGAAGCCGTAACCTCTCGATCGGTCTCCCCCTCGACTGTCGCCGTAGCCACCTCTGTCACGACCATCATAACCCCTATCGTTGCTATAGCGATCGCGATCACCGTAGCCTACAAGGGGAAATAACAAAGGAGCAAACAAAGAGACAGCCTGTCTCAATGAATGACCATAGGGACATAACTAAAGGAAAAAAAAACATTTCATAAAAATCAAGCTGGTGCCTCGTCCAAATTTTAAACAGGCAAATCTTGAACTTTTATCGTTTTGCATGTTTAGAGCTCTCCAGTCTTGTGGTAAAGTCTCACTAAAAACAAATTAGATATTCTGTGAGGTAAGGGAGAAGGCTCTTTTTAAATAAGTTTATTTAATGGGGACTTCAACCCTACACCATACACAACTTGGAACCCCCAAGACAACATCCTCTTGTTTAACAGAAAATACTCCATCCTCCCCGCACCCCCCAAAATAATCGTAAAAAAAACTTACCTCTATCTCTGTCTCCACCGTAGCCTCTATCTCTGTCGCCACCAAAGCCTCTGTCCCTGTCGCCACCGAAGCCTCTATCTCGGTCAAAGCCACGGTCTCTGTCTCCACCAAAACCACGATCCCGGTCACCACCAAAACCACGGTCCCGATCACCAAAACCACGATCACGATCTCCGCCATACCCTCTGTCCCGATCGCCAAAGGAACCACGATCTCTGTCACCACCAAATCCTCTGTCTCTGTCAAACCCGCGATCTCTATCTCCAAAACCGCCTCCCCTGTCCCGGTCACCGCCGAAGCCCCTATCTCGATCGCCGAAGCCCCGGTCCCTGTCGCCATAGCTTCTGTCAGAGAAACCACCTCTATCGCGATCACCATAGCGACCACCTCTGTCAGAATCTCTCGATCCGAAGCTGCTGCCATCTGGAAAGGAAAAAAACAACAAAAGAAAAGCAATGAAAAATTTGATAATAACCATAAAAAAAAACAAGATCAATTTAGCCGTTACAAGGTACCAGTTATGTTGCATAAAAAAAAAAAAAGATAAATTAAGCCGTTTCAAGGTATTAGCTGTAAGATACACGACTGTTTACTTGATAATGATACAGTGAACCATCAAAAACAGTCAAACCAGAACATCTTTTACGAAAAAGTGTAAAAAGGCTCAATGGCCTTGGTAGGCTACCAGACTCATTACCATGAAGTTGCGGGTTCATGGGCTCAAGGATCAGTTTGGCCCATGAAGGTGAACGGATAAGAAAGATCTTTTAGCATCTGAAAAATGACAGCTTGTACGGCATGCTTCCCTCGAAGCCAAGAATGTTCTTAAGAGTGCTAGGGTCTGCTGGGGTAATAAAAATAGTTTAAACCATAGAGCATGGATATGCAGACCTGCAACTCTATGAAATCTAAAAATCCGGATTTTAGAGTTTAAAAAATCAGGATCTGGTGAAAAAAATCGGGATCAACGGAAAATCAAGCCATAAGGGATACTGGGGGCTTTTATGAGGCAAGTATGCAAGAGAAACTTGAAGAAGTTCACGTTTGGGCCTCTAAATAGAGAGAAAACTGAAAGACAGCATTACTCGAGTCGGAGTTGGATAGACTGGGGGAGCGCAGGTTGCAGTAAAGCTGAAACTCTCGCCGTCTTGAAAATAGCTGACACATAACTGTAATCATCCCTCTAAAAGCCAGCGTTTTCATACAGTAACGTTTGACTTCCATCGCATATACACTCAAGGCACCCCCCCCCCCCCCCCCCCGGAAAAAAAGATCATGCCAAGGTTGTTCATTTATTTCTTTTTTCTTATTCCTTCATCCTCAATTAGATTCTACATGTATCACAGCACGCACTTTAAGCCCAAGTGTCATAAGAATACCCCACCCCCTCCCCCAGTCCACATTGGTTAAGTCCCGAAAAACACCTTGACCAATGCGAATGAACTTTGTTGACCCCGACAGCCGACGGTTCCCGACACACACGCTACTCACACGTACGAGGTCATGTCCCGTGTTGCGAATGAGCGTTTGAAAGTTCCACTGACAGGTCTGATGGGCCCGACTAACCAGAACTCAGATGAAGCTTGCTTTTACAGCAACGGCAGAACAACGAATAGATTATTTTTAGGCCCATGGCATAATTGTTGCAGTAATCTGGACACCATCAGAGAATTCTGGGTTATAAAAGCGAAAGCAGATCTTGAGAGTATCCATGTCGGAATTCAAAATCGATACTGCGTCAGTTTTAGTTGAAATAACGTGCGTGAGTCATCTACTAGATTCGGCATAGATGCTTTAGAAAGTAGCGTTTCAAGTTGCTGAGGATAAAAAAATCCAATCGGTGCTTCCAAGCAAAAGAGATTGCAGAACTTTTTATATTTTTTTACCTAGAATCGGACGCAACAGGCGCAACGACAAAAAAATCAGGATACTGGCGATCGAAATCGGGAAAATCAGAATGCTTTGAGATTTGGGGCAAAAATCGGGTTATCCCGATTAAATCGGGATGAGGGGCAGGTCTGGGATATGCTTTACATAATGCAATTGTAAATCATCATTATTATTTCACTCGACATCATTCTCTAGCCAAGACAGCTCCTCCTCACTCCAACATACAACCTAAACACTTGAGGCATCGGCGAGAACACAAACACTCACTGTCCATGCTAGGCGGGTCTCGCCTTCTCCAGTCTCCCTCAGTGCGGTCCGGCTCATTGCTACGGTTACCGCGACCACCCTCTTGATTCTTATCTGAGGCCAGGTCGACACGGATGTTACGGCCCATGTATTCCTGTGGGTTAACGCAAACATATGAGTGTCAAGTTCATACAAAAGCACATAACTATGAATAAATTTAGTCATTTTACGTAACGTCACCTCAGAACTATTTTGTCAAAAGTGAACTTAGCTATTAACACATTACACTCTAACTTGCCTGTGATCGTCCACTCCGACCAGGTGTCTTTAGAAACGAAGTCTCGCCTTGATGAGACTCTAGGGCCCAGATTTCACTTTACATGGTTATTGGAAAATGTTTCTTCATCCATTTGATACCAAAACAAAATTTTGCTGGACAGCAGTTTTAGTATTAAAGCCGATCGAAGTGCTATTGCGTTTCCCACACTTCGAAAGTGTCTCGGCTTGTTGAACAATGGAGTTAGAAAAAGGAAATAACAATGGATTTCAGAAAGAACAAGTAAATGACAAATAAGATGAATCAAATTTTGATGCAAACGTAGCAAGAGTTTGAGGCGATTCAGATTAATCAGATGAAGAATTTACCGGGCTGACACTGAGTGAAAGTGACAGGTCAGACACTCCGATTGAACTAAAGTTTAAAACATTTCCTACAGTTTGTGCATATAAAGTTATATTTTTCTGAAACTATATTCATTTCTTTTTTTTCTTTTTTCAGGATTTTTGAAATTTGTTTTATATGCTTGTATTCACGGGAGGTGGGTTCCTTTCTTCCCTTTGCCCAGGATTTGGGAATAGACTTCACGTCCAGATCCTTTGAGTGTAAAAGTGTTAAGTCACTTTGGACACTTCTGAGGCAACGCGATATCAAGGTAAAAAATATAACCAAAAAAACCCAAACGAAATTGCTTTGCTTACCCTGTGAGGTAGAATCAAACTGAGGGAAGAATCTTTCTTGTGACAGCAACGATATGTTGCAAAACCAGTAAAAATGAAAATATACCCAACTCCACCCCCCCCTTCAATATTCCCACAAGTGTTTGATAAACATCACTGGCAAGAACTATATTTCTTTTCCACTGTTGTTAAAGTGGGTATTTCTCGCTTTTATTTTTATCCATACAAAATGGAACATTATCATATCGACATGCTTCGCTTTCCTAAAACTATCAAAACTCACTTTGTCGTGGTAGGTGAGGGCCTCCAGGAGCGACTCCCGTGTCAGGAAGTCTACATAGGCGTAGCCGCGCGGCCGGCCACCGTCACTGATGATACGGATCATGTCCACCTGAGGACAGGTAGTGGGACAAACAGTTAGTGTAGTTTTAGTAGAGGTTTTATGGCATTCGCAGCTGCATAAGGTCATATGAGCACCAAGGGAAGGATGTCAACAGAGAAGTCCTTACAGGGAATCAGGCTTACTCTGCTCACCTCTTTAGCTTCAACAGCACAAAGTCTGCTTCCACTATCAAGGCACCCTGGAAATAGTGGGTCACAAGAGTGTGACAAACATACAAAAGTAGTAGAGTAGCAGTAGAAAGGCTGCAGAAAGAGCCAGGAGCCCAGAAGTTGGGGCAAAAGAGGTGAGGGGGTGGGGGCAGAAAGTGGAGATGAAAGCAAACGACAGAACATTGCCAGAGAGCAGGAAGGGATGTGAAAGGAGACAATTTTAGAGAAGAAAATGTTCCTGTCGCTACCCGGATTCGAACACGTTAAGCTCTAGGCCACGAGAGCCCCCACAAATCATTCCCCAGAAATGTAACCATAGATATGCATCTCATAAGCATATAAAACTTGCACAGCGTGCAAGATGAAGCGAGTAAAAATCTCTGATTGATGAAGTCTTGCTTTTTGTAAGAGATGGATTTGTTAAACTATCTCAATGGAAAGAGAATATGCTGACATGACAGACTTTTTTTTAAAGTAAAAGTTATAATAGAATATATTTTTATCCTTGTCATCTTCATGATAGTATTGTTAGTCAGGATCTCTGTTTTAATCAGTCTTCTGGAATTTGTTCTAGAAAACAATGAGTTGCCAATCACATACACAGATCCATGTCAAAATCTCAGTGATGGCTTCAAAGAGTCATAAGAACAGAGAAACGTAAGCTAAACGTTAAGGAAAACTCAACAAGTGATACCATTCACCCTACAAGCTCTAAGGCAAACTTTGCTTTTTCTTTGACACAAAACCTGCATTTCCCATCCACCGGTCTTATATTTCAAATACGATCTCATCACAACTAAAACTGTTAAGTTTTCAGGTGATGTCCCTTTAAAAGTTAGTAGTTCCTGGGACAACAACGAAACAAAGTATTCCTTGTCAACAACAAAGGAGCTATGTCCACAGCGCTCTGTGCAGTCTACTATAAGGATGTGGGAGACACATCAATAGTGCAGGCAACATATTAAACAAATTTCAGTAAAGGCACCCCCTCCCC